CAAAGATCAATCAGAGGATGTGCTGAAGTCTTCCATCAAATCGTTGAGTATAACTGAAATATATTTTTAGTTAAAGACGAATGAAAAGTATGTGCGACTGGAGTACATGAAAAGTATCATGAACAATAATTTATCTTAAGGAAATTCGTAATTTTCTCTGTAATCATTGCAATAGATCTGATGCAATACATAATTGCTTAAGTTTTCTCGACAATTTATCCTCTATTTTCTTATCATTAAACAAAATAAATAACGCAGTAAATATTGAAGATAATATAAACGTATGTATAAAATCAGAAGAATAATTTCTTCACCATTGGGTTTGTGTCCTTTTAGCGCGTTTTTTCACTTTAGAACAATGCCATTTAGTACAGAAATTCATTATACGTTATGAAGAAACGAAATGATCCATTTTATGCACTTTTTTGAATTTTTCGTCTATTTCGACAAACAAGTCATTTTTACGTGCATTTTTTGCTAATTTTATCGATTTTAATATCGCTTCAAACAATACTTACGAATTGCAGCAAATGTTCATTATAGAATTCCTGAGTATCCTACTCGATTCCTTTGCTTATATATTGTAACAGCCGCTGTGGGTACTATGTAATCTAAGGTTCCTGTGACGTTTGTCTGCGGCAATTTTGTCAGTTCAGGCGATGTCGCGATAATTTAAGGTAAAGATTTTCTTTTAAAGAACAGTCAAAACCCAAAGTTTGCTAGGTGGCTTCACATGAACAAAAGAACGATGCCTCGATTTCATCAGTAGCATATTCAAAAGCTCGAGTTGTTAATCTGAAGTGGTTTTCATTATTTTTCTCTCGACATTATTCTTTATTTTTTGGGCAGTTTTCAAGCATTTTAAGAGCATTTTATTGATAATTTTTTGACAATGTTTTGGTCTTAAAATACCATGACTTTGGAATGAAAGTAGGTAATTTTAAAAGAAACGTTCACGCTAATTTCGAAAATCATTTTAAAAATTTCTCTCACGCAAGGTTCAAAAGATATAAACACTTTTAGTATTTGAAATAAAATCCTAAACTATTTTCCACATTGTCACTCTCGTTATATAAGTACACAATTTTATGAGCATGTTTCATGTGAGGTAAGAACAAGTTAAAAATGGAATTCTCATATTTGTGCAATAATATGCAGACATTAAAAGGGTTTGTTGGTGTTCTCCGCCACATTGGTAGAGCGAATGACAATGATTTGAGTTTTCCCTACAACCACAACCTAAGGGTCGTTGAACAGACAACACAACATTGGTGAGTAGCCCATGGGTTGTCCTGATCACAAACACGACTGCAAAAGTATAAAGAATACGTAAGTTTTTTTATTTTCCTACATTTTTTCCACTTTGAAGTTTTGGGGTTAATCTTCCACAAACGTGCACGGATTGATTCCCACACTTATGATGTTAAATGTCGATTTCATTTTATCGCGCCAATTCAATTATATAGATCATGCTGCGAATTTCACTTTATAAAAACCATAAAACTATAATGCATTAATGTATCTGAGGCACCCGCAAACCAGACTCGAACTTCACGCGCACTGTGGGTACAGTTCCGCATGGCACCGACTGACTCTGATCTGCCACCCCATCAGTTGTATACTTGTATACTTGAAATAAAGAAAGGGGCTAAAATAATTCCTTTCGATGTCTGATGAGCATTAGGAAATAAGAGGGTGCTCATGACTGGTTTTCAAAACAACCTCTAAGACTTACAAGACTACTAACGCCTACTCCTAATTGAGCGCGACTACCAGACGAGAAAATAAAGACTGCAATCTTCGAATACGGGAAGTAAACAAACTACGAAAGAATAATTATGTTGATCTCATGAAAATGGCACAGATACACTGAACAAATATTTAATTTTTAAATATATTTTATGCGTATGGATGCTACATATCGTACTGGTTCAATTTAAATGAATTAGTATTAATAACAAAATACGGTATAAAGATACGGTATATTTAAAATCTGTGACGTGTTATGATATTATTTTGGTATTCGTAATCTATGTACTCTACGGGAACATTGTGCACTCTACCTTCCGGGAGGTAATCTTATTCCCTATACAGAATTTATGCAACTCTGTCCCTGGCAGCTGTTTATGGTTTCATGCAATCGGGAGCTTGAACGTAACCATAGTGGTCACTATGATGACGTTCAAGCCCTCCATTGGATGAAACAGTCAACAGCTGGCCCATTGTTGCGGAGGTACTCTACACAACCAGATTTAACCAGGCAACACCGGATTCAATTCTGAACTCTCATATAGACTTCTATTTTTTAAACTGGACGATGACATTAGATCGTTTTTACACTTCCTGCCTCATACAACGAATCTCTTTAACGGTAGTAAGCATATTCCAGAGGCCACAAGCCCCGTTGATAAGGACGTTCCCGAATTAATTGAAATGATTCATTTTATAAGGCAGGAGGTGTAAGAATGACATAACGTCATCGGCTACTTTAAAAAATTCGAAGAATAGCCATTCGGTCATTTATATCGGCCACCTTGGTTTCGACGGTGATTCAAGGTGTACCATGGTTTCCCCCGCAAAAATTATTCCACTGCTTTCTGGTCGCTATCATGATATTGGAAAAGGGGGCACTGGGAACAGAGTTGGCTTCTTGCGGTTTGCCAATCTTCTTGTGGGACGAACTCAGCTCGTTTGACTCCACTAGCCATCAACAAAAGGTTTTGTATCGTTTATAGTCTTCTTGGTAGTGGGTTTTGTATATTGATTCCAAGTTGTGGCCTGGGAATAGGCAAAAGTTTGTCATATTCTCTTCCTAAAGTTTGTTAGTGGTGGATATTAGGTACAACAAAATGACTGAGAGTTGGTAATCACTCCAGTGGTAAAGGATAGAGAGAGCCTGTTGTAAGACGCCGGATATTTTTAACTTTAACATTGATCTTGTTAGTATAGAAGCTATTTATCAAGACTGGAGACCAGTCTTGGTGGGAGGATAAATAAATTAGAGAGTGGATGTACGAAGACAATCAAGGCTTACTATTTGTGGTGTATTGGTTTTTGGAAGGCGTTGTTTCTAAATTTCTAAAAAGGAACTGTCGTACTAATAGGTGATTCAACAAGTTTCCATGGACAAAACCTTGACAAATTTACTATTCGCTTATATATAGTAAACGGGGAAGTTGGTTACTTTTGTTTTGGCGAAGTTCAGTAGGAGACATATTTGGCAGTATATTTCAATTTTTATAAGATTCTCGGAGATAATCTATTTTAAGACTTGAAATTGCAGATGGGCTTAACAGCGTTTCTTCAATAAGTGTTATCGGAATAACAGTCGACTCTTAATAACGGTTATTAATAACAGTTGAAAAATAACAGGTCAATGCCAGCAACCCAACATGGCGACTGCTAAGAATTACACCAGGAAAAACGATTAACGTTTAACCATAAAGCTTGTGCAGCTACCTTACGGCGCTTGCTCACACTACTTCCCCAAACATGTTTGGATAGAGAAACAGCTGATATGAATGGATGAACCGCCAAGGACGAATAGAAGTTGATATGAGTAGCAATTATGTATAGAATATTACTACAATAACAATTGTGATTCGGGTTCAGGTTGCAAATATTCCTTCGAATACGCATCTTGTGCATAGTGACGTGACGAGTGGCAAAAATAATGAAAAGGAGACTCTGTTTTTTCAAGAAAAATGAGAGTTTATTTACAAGTTTCTAATTTCTCTGAGTTATCAATTAAACTGCCCAGTCCCGGGTTTAACAGGTATTGATTTAGAAATATTATTGAATGGGCTACGATCAAATTAGGGTTCATATTGGTTTTGATACTAGGGTCAGGTGTTAATGATCTAAGTTCCCCTAGTACACTAAAAGTTTTTCGGATCGCATGTTTAAAATTAATGTTTTTAGGTGTGTTCATTTATGACTTCTCCCCTAGTCTAAACTTTGTTGAAGGTTTTTCGGCATTTCGGGATCTTCGATATTTCAAAGGTCTTTGCTCAGCACTGTCTTCATTACATCACAGGATATTTTTACCGGTATCTCCTTAGGATACTCTGCTCAGCTGAGAGTCGACAAAGCCTCTCTAATCTGTTAGAGTTTGTAGGATTTGGGTAGATAAATCAGAAAGAGTCCTTTAGCAAAAGTAATATGCTGCTTTGGCGTCAACTACTGTGTAACGTTACTGTATAGGTACTCATTGACATGACAATGATATCATCAGTATTATCCACGACTTCGTATTTCCATTGGAAGTGGTGGCTGTTAACCTCATTTGCTTATACAACGGGGAGTGTGTATGCGGTTAAAACGTTATTACCATATAACACATGAAGATTTGTGGACATTACGATCAATTAATGCCTAATTTCTTTCTTCTTCTTCTTCTTCTTCTTCTTCTTCTTATTATTATTATTATTATTAGTATCATTATTATTATTCAGTGGCATCATTATTCAGGCAAAAAACGTCGTGTACAGGTAGCTAGCAATACCATATTCTTCATGATGGAGAGTGGTTATTAGCGCAGAGCTCGAAATAATGCCCCCGGAAACCAAGCAAATAATATGACTTTGCCCTCTTATGAGGATTACGTTGATGTATTCTGCCACCAATCAAAACAGACTGTCGGATTTGCATATACTAATCATTTCAACATTTACTTAAATAATGCGGTTGAAATTCTGATGTCACTTATCTGTTCCATTTTCAACTCGCAAATAAAATGAACATTTTCATTCTTGCTTCATATACTCGTATATTGTGCTTCCGATGCGGGAAATTGGTTAGAAGGCCCTAAGACTAATTTGGTTTCCGGAAGTAGTAGCTCATTTATCGTTATACAGAGTGCACCACGAGATGGCAAACAACTTTGTATTTAATAATTAAATTAAAAATAATAAGAATGTTATATAATCATTAATTGTTTATAATAAGCAAATGGAAGCTGTAAAGTTGTGTTTAAATATTTTATTAGTCAGATATAATATTCAATGTTTCAGAAAACACATTTCAGTGAATGAAATCTGACAAATGAAATATAATATAAAATTATAGTATTTGCAATATATTTATATTTCTTATACGTTGCCAACGCAGCTAGGCATCTATATTTAGATGATAGAACTTATAACATGTCTCTTCTGAATACCACTATTAAGAATGAGGTATCGTAAATTCCTTGATTTACGACGGAAATAGCTCCGAATTATTAATAATTTCCCCCGCCTTAGTAATTTGATTATTTTGTCTGCGTGAGATGTCTGAAGTTTAACCTAATTTGCACATTAACTCAAATCAAACCAATTTTTTTCGATATATTACATTTTCCTTTAAAATGTGCAAGATGTTCTTGGCTTTATGAAAAAAATTACTCCTGTCAAACAGCTTTTGTAAAACTCTCCGTACAGCTAAATGTATTCAATTCGTTAATAAACCATCAGTGCTACATGCTATTAAAATGAATGAAATGAAAATGGTTATAAACATTTTAAGTATCTCTTCTTTGGAAATATATCTAGCAAACTAAAAAAACGTTCTATATTTTACGATTTGTTTTCCACAAATGTATGTAGGACAACCTATCAAACTTCTTTCTTACTGTTAGTATGACAAAAACTATTTCAAATCCTAATATCTTAAAATAAATTATTTATAACCAACATATTACAAGCTGCATATTAGATGTTACAATGTGAACAAATATTAGAGAAAGTAAACATTGCAGGATTCAGACCCGATGTTGAAATTAATAAATATATGAATATGATGTGAGGGAGTGGATTCTCCAGAAGTCTCTGCATATAAGTGAAATCTCTGTATGACCATTCGCCTAAGCCAAAGCTATTGTTTTGTTTATTTTGAGGAAATTCGTATTAAAATAGTCCTCAGATTTACACTCCGATCGATTCCACTTTATTACATTTGTGAATATTACTTAATTTATATTATAAATATATAATAATATAATATTACCATATTACTTAATTGCATTTGCGAACATGAATCGTAAGTACGTTCGTCTCAAGCAGAGAGAAACCTGAAACGCATTTTCTGCAGCGCACCCTTCAGTCGATGGCTCGGTTGGCGGTAGAGACAAAGAACAACTCGGACAGTGGCTACTGGCGCTGCGGGTTCACGCTGTACTGGTCGTAGTTCATCTGCAGGCGCATGAAGGAGTCCGCGCTGGTGGGCGCCGCCGCCTCCTCCTCGGGCTCTGAGCCCGCGTCCGAGCTCTTCGGCACTGGCTTGGTGTCGGCGCGGAGGTCGACGGCGAACCGCAGCTCCTTCTTCATCGCTTCCCAAGGCGTCATCTGCGGAATCGGAAGCGTTTACACATTACAACCATAGTACTTGTTTCAAAGTTGTTGGCGTCTGTCTGGATGGCCAAGATCGTTAGGGCGGTAGTGCCGTAGCTATCTCAGGCCGAGGAATTGCGGGTTCGAGTTCCGCCTCGGGCATGGTTGTGTTTGTGTTCGTCCTTTCACACCCTATCATCACCATATCACGTCATCTTTACAGTTACCATACCGTTAAATGCAATAGTGGTCGCTAATGACTTAATGTTCATGCGAACGTAAATAACAAAAAAAGTTGTTGGTAACTATAGTTTTATTTTCTAGCGAAGAATACTTGATTTTAGACTGCCTTACTGACTTTCCTTTTATATTAATTAAAGTACACAAATCACTTTATTAGGTACTAGGTTTCATTAAGATCAGTAATAGCTGATCAGACAATAGTATTTTGTTTTGTTGCATTCGCACTTTTCTGCACATTTGAGTGTTGTCTCACTTTTAGTACTAGGTTAAGAGTTGACCAATAAACCACTTTCCCATCGCGTGGTCAGTAATATTATGTATTTCCGATGCCGCGTCGGATCTTTGCGTTATCTCTATTAACTTACTTTAACTAATTGTTAAAAGAATTTGAAATAATAGAAGAAAGTGTGATATGGATAGATTGATGATTTCGTGTTTCCGGGCGCATCAACTACTATCGTCATTAGTTCCGTAAGTGGAGGGCATGCCTTTATCACGGGAGGTGGCGGAGCTCTTCCCCCGCTGGGTAGTGAAATCCGGCCCCGACCTACGCGTCGGCTCGCAGTGTTTGCTATCTATCTAGTGTCGAAAATCCTGTCTTCGTTGGAACTCAAACCCTAGGACCTCCAGGCCAGAGGCATTAGTGTCAGCAGGTGATGCCCTATGCCACACCAGACGGTGATGTTAATGGACTGAAGACAGTTTTTTCCCTCCAGAAACCTAGTACCGAAAACCAATGGTGAAGCGCACGGATCCCAACGAACCTTCTCCTCGACGGCGATCTTGCGGCAGTTCCACAGGAACTCGAGTATGGCGACGAGGAAGGCGGCGATGCAGCCGAAGACGAGGACGAGGAAGACGCCGCCCACGTTGGTGAGGTCGAGGTCCGGGGAGTCGGAGGCGGCCGAGTCGTCCTCCTCCTGCCCCGCGCACCCGTCCGGCACGTTCTCCACCCACCAGCGGTTCTTCAGCACCTTCAGCTCGCCGGCCTGCTGCAGCTTCAGGATGGCCCAGTTGATCATCTTGCGGTACGGCGAGCCTGCGCACGCCGCACCACTCGCTCAGACAAGCTCAACCACGTGACGAATCCGGAGACGTTTGGGAGATTTTTTAGCGGCGAAGCGCTAAAGCGATCGACTGAAATATAGATCTTTTGCGCAGTTCGAGTTTCCCATCACTTTTGTGCATCTGCGCATGCGCAGAAGATAGAGATTGCAGTCGATACCTGTACGCTGTGTCGGGCAAAAACTCCCGGAAGGTAAGGGTAGATTGCAATGCACATTGTGCATTGCACATTGCACGGTCATATGCAAAGCATATTTGCACCCAGTTGACGAGAGAAAAGGACGAGGAAGGAGTGTGTTGGGAGTGCCGAGAGAAGAAGAAAAAATAGAAAAAATTACTCAAAAAATAAATTTCTAGAAACGAAGTAAAATGTGAATAAATACGACATGATGGAAGATATATTTTAAAACGACGGCTAGCAAAGCTAAAGTGAAAACTAGTATTCGACAAATGAATTATAAACGAAATAGTTATAAAACCAGTTATATAGTGAAATGCAATGATTTAATCAATATAAGAGGAGGCATTTCAATGATAATTACATAATCGAGATTTAAACATTACTTATTAAATTTTCTACGTGACTTTTGCAATTAAGGTGCTATTGCTGTTCCAAATATTTTGAATGGGTTTTGTCGAAAACTTGGTGCACAAATTCGAAAACGACCCTTTCCGTAAAAATATGCCTACGTTTACATTACTTAATAATTTAATTTAGAAGATTACTTCAAGAAGTTTCCTAGTGATGCTGTTTCATATTGAAATAGTAGAGTAAAACGAAGATTTAGGAGCCCCTTAACTTGCACTGCAATGGTTTTTAGAAGTATATTTTAATTTTCTTTTGACTGTTGAAAGTATACTTGAGAGTGCAGTTAATATATTTATGTAATGTGTGCAAATGTCAACTGAGAATTGTAGGTGAAATTTTCCCACACTAGTTTTATTAGGTAGGAACTAAGGCGCAATTCAGACGTTATGCAGCGCCCAAAATAAAAATTCGCGCAGGTTTATCATTCTAATTTTGTAGGAAATCTTCACTACTTTCAATAGCTAAATTTGATATTTCTTATGAAGTGTTACGTACATCCTGATATTGCAGTATTTCTGAAAAAACTGCGTTCTAGAAGGACTTTATTTTCTAGTTTCGGGAAATTACCTGGTGGTAAAGCTATCCCATATCCTTTGGAATCTAGCTGGCCGCCGACCTTGACCAGGTCGCAATTTTTGCGAGTTTCGTACTCGATGGAAGTGGACTCCATGAAGAAGGCGTAGTCGCCCTTTCCCTTTTTCACGCGCTCCACGCCCTCCTTGTTGTCGGATGTGAAAACGCTGGGGCGCGCCTGGTTCATCACGGTCCACATGCGCTGGTATAGGGAGTTGTTGGATTCCTGTGCGCACACAGATAAATGAGCAAATACGAAAACAGAATTAGTATTTCGAACGTCCCATGTTGGGTAATATTGGGGAATCTCCTATGTTTGTTTCTTAAAGAAACAAATGCAGAAGTTCAAAAAATATATATAATTGAAAATTGCTTTAGAATTGCTAAAGAATAATTTAGTATAAGAAACTAAAAATTATTTTTGGTTTTACAAAACAGTGTATTTTGCGTAATGAGTTGAAGAAAGGTACTTGTGACATTTTACCAAGAAAACGCCTCGATACTGCAGAACAGCGTGTCGAAAACATCTATTGTTTCATAACATCCAAAAGCTTCTGCATGTGGTGCGCCGAGTCGATAACCATGTTGCTAAGCATCTCCGGAGAGAAAACATGCTTCTTCGGATTCAGAGTACGAAAAATGCAAATTAGTGAATCGATGGAATTAGTGCGAATAACATCATTTCAGCGTGATCGTATGTAGCCTCGTCATCAGGTACTGAGGCAGTTCAGTCTGCGACGCCAGTGAGATACAGGCTGCGACAAATTTATTTAAAAGGTTTTCTAATGATATCCTTTCCACTTGATACCAAAACAGTAAAACAACTGGTACCTATGTTAAAAGAAATTGTGAAGTTGTGAATTTGTTTCATTGAAATGACTATAATAATAATTGTAATAATAATATAATAATTATAATATTAATTTATTTATTAATAACTATATCAGGTCATTAAGCCTGCGATGAAACATTTTATACACGTTAAATTTTTGCTTGCAATTTCATAGATATGAGTTGAAAGTAAGTTTGGAAAACTTCAAACCCATCCTTCATCCTATTATTGTATGAATTTATGAGTTCAACAGCAAATTTTTTGTGGGTCGTTATACATTACGAGATATTTGAACCGTAAGTTGAATTTTCTTGCACACCCAATACTTTCTTTCCATGCGTGACTCTCAGAGAAAGTATCTAACTATCTGCCTTCAAATTGAAAGAAATATAAAACGAGATTAATTTTATTTAATGAAGATAGAAAATTTGGAATGGAAAATTTCAAGTAATTTTGGTTGAGAACATTATTTGTTTATTATTGATTTATTACATTTTTACTGTGTTATTTCATACCGTTAATACTTTTGGTGGTTTCTTTTAACAGACTTCAATTTGAGCGAAAAGTTTATGAAACTTATATTTCATGACTTAAAAATATCTTTGCGTAATTCTTTGCTAAAACATACAAAACAAACGAGAGGACTAACCTAATTTTCTTTCTGAATTCGCTTACCCTGAAGAAGGCAGCAGTAGATCCAGAAGCGTAGGTTCCGTACTTGATCTTGGTCTGTTTCGCTAGGTCTTCCACATTCTTGATGGAGTCGTCCATTCGCGTCACTGTCAAGAAGGCGGCCAGGTTGGCGGTGTAGGAGGAGATCATGATGAGCGTGAAGAACCACCACATGCCGGCCACCATGCGCGTCGACACGGCCCTGTCGGAAAGCACACGCGACCTAGCAACGCCTCCCGCGGCTCCGTCATCGCTCGGGCGCTATCATTTGGCCGGCTTCGCTCTACGGGAGCCAGGGACATCACAGCACCAACAAAATAAAAAAAAAAACGTAGCGTAGCCGAATTCGGCCGAATCGGGACATCGGGTCGAAGAACCCGAAATGTTCCGAAGACGGTCGAAAGTGCACGTAGTTGGCCGAAGGGTGTCGAAACAGTTATTCTCGGGGGTGAGGGGACACACTACAGGCATGGTCTTCGTCAAAATATAGGGGCAAGGGTACGGGGTTTTGAAACGAATCTACTCACACGAGGTGCACACGTGGGATAGAGCCACTGTTCCAACTGGGAGTGACAAACTACGCGAGCGGGAGCGTCTCAGTACTACTGGGAGGAGAGAGGGTATTTACGGGCTGAGGCAATGGGAAGATCGATCGACTTTTGTTTTTCACTTCATACTTTAGCTTAGAAAAAACAGATTCAAACTTTTCCACCAACAATACTCATGCAGTTTGTGATGTCTCATTCAAAGGAAAGACACCTTTAATCGTATTGAAAAGTAGATAAATATTCCATGTATATTGTTCTTTGGACATTTATAAAGCAAGGTAAAGGCCCCTGTAGTCCATATTCCCTAGGAGAAATACAAGAAAATATGTTTATTATTGCGGCAAGGATTTGAACTTATCTACAAAATTTTTTGCATACATTAGAATTTTTGCACTTATCTGATGATGCAAATCATTTCTTTAAAAATGTACTACACTCTGAACGAAACATTAAGGCACACATTCGTGACATTAAGTTGTTTCCCACCAAAAACGTATGACGTTTCCTTTCATATTATTCAAATACACGAGATCTATCAATACGTTTTTAATATGACAAATCTCAAATAAATATAAATTAAATTCATGTGGAGACTCATACAAAACGGTACCCGCTTCTGATTTTCTCTCTAACGTGTTTTTAGATTTAATTTCCGCTTTGTTCAATGAGCTAAAAAAACAGTTGGTGTAGGGCATTTCTTTCGTGAAGCATTTGAAAATATTCGAGACACAAAAAATCCTTTCTCCCTATTTTTTCTTTGAGATGTCCTTGAAAGATTTAAATTTGAGGTAATAACTGAAATTTGCAGTGTGCTCTTTTTACAACCATCACGAACGCGAGAAATTTACCAACCACGCGAGAAATTTAGATCTAAGAAGATGTAAGCAGTCCCTCCAATTAGACTTCGTAAGAAACTGCATTGAAACGTGCCAAATAAATTTAATAACCTTCTTGAGTGAAAACGCGTACAATATTGTAAAGTATCCTGCCAAAAGTGTTCTTTTGTTTTAAAACGTGTGCCGAATTCATCCCGGAATGGCATCCAAGCCACTTCCCACCGGTTCACGCCTCATTTGGGGATGATGGCGCACTGCGAACCGCCGCGCTCAGCCAGCGAGAGGGCAGAGAAGAAGAAGAAGAAGAAGAACGCTCCAAGCAAGGGCGAGCGGCGGTGAGCGAAGCGCAGCGGGGTGCGGGGGTGGGGGAGGAGAAGAGCTGCAGCTCAGTCGGCAGGCGAGGGGGTGGCTGCTACTCGCCCGGCGGCGGCGGCGGTGGCGGCGGTGACGCTGGCGGAGCCGCCTCTGCCTCTTGAGGCGGTGCCGACCGTGCCGCCGTGCCGGCGGGGGCGGCGGCGGCGGCGGCGGCGGCGGCGGCAGCAGCAGCTGCTACGTGCTCACTGAGCTAGAAGGACCACCTGCAGCCGCGTGCACGCGCTGCCAGCTAGAAGGCGGTGGCGGCCAGACAACAAGAGCTGGACGCGGCGGCTAAAGAAGCCGGCGGCGGGCACTACTTTCGAGGACTGCGGCGGCGGGGGCTATGTACAGGGGAGGGGGCTATGTACAAGGGACTTGGCGCTCGACGCGCGCAGATTGTTAACCGACATGTCTGTCTTCATTTGCTTCTTTGGAATAGGTGTTTGGTATCCCCAGTAAAAACGTTTGGTAATTATGAGAGGTAAGTGGTGTGCGTTGTGTAGTTTGGTTTAGGTCGAGGAGACAGTATCATTTTGTAAACGATCTTATTTACTGCTAGAGCAATCTTTGGAGGTCCTGAATTTCACCAGTCAGATAAGACAAATTTAATGAAATAACACTCTCAGCAAATGTCTTCCTTCACCTAAATTATGATTCTTTTCCCTTTTGAATAATAGATATTTGAATTGGATTTTCGTTTGCCAATTTTTGAATTTTCGCTTCCTTGATTTTTAGCCCTGAAGCTGATCCTTGACCAGTGTAACAGAGGAGGAGTGTAGTTTTATTTTCATTTTGATTAATTTGACTTTTTTTACATGCTTTTGGACAGATAAAATCGGAATTAAGTGATATCAGTGCATATTAGAAGTATTGTGAGATCGGTATTGTGTCAAAACTATAGTAAAAAGAGAGTAATAAAAGAAGAGACATTTGAGTAAAATGCTAGCAAAATTGAAACGGAGTGTTCTATACTAAATTATATCAGCTGCTTGTTTTTTCTTAGTCATCATGTAACAGATTGAAGGACACTTAGGAAGGTAGTGGCTAATGACGTTATCAATGTGATGAGTGTGAAGCAAATGAAGTATAACGGTCGTTACAGAATATTTTAAATACAATTTTAAATGTATTAAAATATTTAAATATGTTCGATTGAAATGTGATTTGCGATAAAATGGATTTGCGAAGAAAGCCTTCTGTGATGAGAGTTACTGTGAATCAGTTTTTGAGTGGAATTATTTATTAGTAATGAGGTATTTGGCTGTTTAGACTGTTAACTGCGCGGTACAGAAATGTGAAATAGGGGAAAATGAGTGAATTACATATTTTGAATGTTTCATATCAATAGATGAATGTCTGGGAATCAATTTCTATGTTGTTTAGGTGTCCAAATTGAAAGTAATTCATATTAATACAACACTATAAATAATATTTCCTTAAAATTTTTCTATTTCACAGCAATATTTTAAATACTCGTAATAGATAAATAAACAACCTCAGTCTTCCACAATGGCTGCTGACAAAATGGTTCCTCGCCGGGCACGAAAGGTCTGATGTGGAGGAAGAACCTATGTTAGTGCCTGGCGCTTCATTGGCTTCGTTCTATTGTCATTTTAGTAAGCAAACAGTTGAGTCCAGCCCTCGGGAGGGCGTAGCGGAGACAGGAGCCAATGGAAGCGCGTTGTCCAGCCGTGAGGCATCAGCCGTGACGTCTTTGGAACCGCTTACCTGCTCATATTTGTTTAACTCTGAACAAACTGTGAAGTCTGCTCTCTTCAAACCTCTTATACGTAGATTGTAAGACGAAATTTTCCGTCATTCTAATAACATTGTAGACGCAAAGGCCCCGTTTAACGTTCCGAGATGATGATTACAAAAATATTTTGCAATTCGGAAACAATGCCTTCACGTTCGTTAGCATAAAACCACTTCGTAAATAAAAATAACTATTATTTTTTTTAATATTCGGAAACAATATTTTATAAACTATGTCTTAACATTTCTCTTCGAGAAACGAAAGCATTAACTTTGATTTCAAACTTCACTTCAGAATTTAGAAATACTTGATTGGCAGACGAGCTCTTAAGAATGAAGAGCAAAACATAACTTTTTTATTTTAAAATTGAATAATTTTTATTTTTGCTTATTCTAGTTTATACGTAGAATGAATTAAGTTATGCTTCAATTTTTTTTCAAAGGTCTGTCCGTTCGTCTGTCTGTCAACAAACTAGTGCTAAAATCGTACAAACGATATTCCCTCAAATCGATTTGACTAAACTAAAAGCCCTTATAATTTAAAATGAATATTTCATTTTTTTCAGGTACGTTCAATTTTGGCCCTATGACTCTTAAAATATTCTTCATATTGTTTCTTTAAATAATTTGCTCGAGAAGAGCAATGTGTACTGCTAAATTTGTACAATTTTCTTTAAAACATTTGAATTTTCGAAAATAGCAGTTTTCAACAGTTTTCGACAATAGCAGAAAAAACATACTAGAGATTTGTTGAAATGATTTGTTTACGGGTATTGACTGTTAGAATATTATGCCAGGATCCAGGTGAATATAAATTAAGTTGAATGAATGGTGGAATGCAGACATCCTGAAATAGAAATACAAGTAGGAATAGAAATACAGAAGGCTTTCTAATTTTTCCTTCCTTGGTACTTAGTACTAAAAATCCTCATAAGCGTTCACTGACAGCACAAAAACATTAAATTTCACTTTGAGACATCAAACATTTAACATTAATCATCCATATTTAAAAATACATGCTAAATAATGAATAAATTTTAATAAATTAATTATATGAACATCAAAGATAGCCAATAGAATAGACAAGAAGAAAAGATGTAGTAGAATAATTAAAGAGTCAACAATAAACTGCGTAATATTTAATATTCTCTCGAGATGTGCTTGTTAGTGAAACGGAAGGTGCATCGGAGAGGTTAGGATATGACTGGATATGGATTCTAAATGGCCCAATCTTGGAATTTCGATGCTAAAAAACTATTTATAACTACTCATTATTTTGAAGTTATCGGTAGTAATAATGTAAATACATTTGTAATCAACAAATTAAGTTAACAACGTGCTAGCGATTCATTCTATTACTTATTCACTCCTGTTTCACTCGTTCACTCTGCTTCTCACTCGCACTCTCATTTGCACCCTTATACTCACAGGCTTTTACTTGCTCTCTGTTATTCTCTCACTTTCATAAGCACACTCTCATTCGCAAACTCCCACTCACCATCTCACTTGAAGCAAATAGACAAGCTTTAAATATCACACAATCAGGGAGGTAATTATTGAGAGTCACGAGAATATTTAAAATTTATTTTTGTTACTGTATCAACTGTACTGTATCAAGCATATAAAATATCTTGTATGAATGAATTCGCGCAAATATAAGTAATTAATTCCTCTTATTATTCCAGCAATAATGGTAAACATCCACT